AGAACATCCACCCGTCCTGTTGCGTAAGGTCTCTAATGTTGACATTGCCGACGCCGTGGGTACAGCGAAGTTAGAATAAGCTGGATTGAACCTGGATTTGCTTTCAGTAATCTATGTACCCGAAAGTGGATTTAAGCGGTAACATCGGGGAGAGATTCGTCCTTTGGGGGTACGTTTCATTGTTATTCTTGTAAACTTGATTCAGCACAAGATGGCGGAAGGCCAGTGTATTGCGATAGAGGCACAAACTTCATAGGTGCAGAATCAGAGCTCAAGAAAGCCTTAGAAGAAATGGATGATCTGAAGATTAAAGCAGAGTTGTTGAAGGCTAATGTTGATTGGATAAAGAATCCAGCATCGGCAAGTAACTTTGGAGTGGTTTGGGAAAGACAAATCCGTTCAGTTAGAAATGTGATGAACAGTCTAATAAGAGAACACAGTTCTTATCTAGATGATGAAACTCTAAGAACATTTCTTTGTGAAGCAGAAGCAACAGTGAATGGAAGACCATTGACGATTGAAACTCTGAGTGATCCCCTCTCTGAGTTACCCTTATCGCCGAACATGTTACTTACCAGAAAGACTAAGCTAATTCTACCTCCACCCGGAGAATTTAAGAAAGATAACGTCTGCTGCAGGAGGAAATGGAGAAGGGCGCAGCATCTTGCTCAAGAATTCTGGCAAAGATGGAGTAAAGAGTACATCCAAACCCTACAGGCGCGCCATAAATGGTTACAAACTAAGCGAAACTTCAAAGTAGGAGATGTCGTTCTTCTGAAGGAAGCCCAATCAGCAAGAAACAAATGGCCAATTTGTAGAGTAATTAAAGTGTATCCAGACGACCAAGGTTTCGTCAGATCAGTTACTCTATTGACGTCACACAGATCCAATTTAGACAGACCCATCAACAAGTTAGTCCTACTGGTGACTCACTAGAAGACCGGGATTCCCCGTCGAGGAGCCAGAGGAGCCAAAACACTCAAAGTTAATATAAGGAACATTGACAATGAACATTTTTCAGTTTTGTTAAGTACAAAAGTACTCTCGTTTTCTTCCTTTGGATATGCTTTACTTTAAATCAGTTGCCATCATGATG